TCCAAAAAGATTCACCCAACAAATATTTAAGTTCTCAGTACCAGGATACAGTTGTAAACAAATAAAACTTCTGTCCCTCCACCCTCAACTTAAACTCAGGATGGGAAAAAGGATGAATAACAAACAATGTAACTAACTATATTAAAAAGTGGCAAGTATTACAAATTAAATCTAGGAGCTGAGAGTACATGACAGAGATGAAATTCTAGATATAGCACCCAAGGAGGGTCTTACTGAGAAAGCAACATCTGATACAGAACTGGTGGAGGTGACTTAGTAAACTCTGCGATCCAGAGAGCAGTGCAGGCAGAAGACGGATTAAGCACAAAGCCTGAGGCTCATCTGCAGCAAGAAAGGGGCCAGCACAGCCAGGGCGGGAGCTAGTGGACAGCAGAGAACTGACTGTGCACCTCCAGGCCAGGGAAGGTCTTCAGGAGTCTTCAGGGGCTTGACTTTCAAACAATCACTACAGGGTCCAGAGATCTATTTATTTTTATTTGAAAGGTGCATTTGCAGAGAAAGGAGGAGAGCCAGATCTTCCATCTGCTCATTCACTCCTGAAATGGAGCTGAAGTGGACTGAAACCAGGAACCTGGAGCTTCTCCTAGGTCTCCCAAACAGGTACAGGGGCCCAATGCCTTGGGACATTTTCCACTGCTTTTCCAGGCACATTAACAGGGAGCTGGACATGAAGTGGAGCAGTTGGGACTCAAACCAGTGCCCACAAGGAATGTCAGCATCTCCGGTAGAAGTTTAACCTACTACCCACAATGCCAGGCACAGAGATGGTAATGTCCTTCGTGTCCTTTCCGTTCCCTACCCTGCACCCTGCCCCCATCTCTGTGCCTGGCTTTGAAAAGCAGGTGGGGATGGCTGAAGTCCTTTGGTCCTTACACCTACATGGGAGACCTACAGGAGGCTCCTGGCTCCCAATTAGCTCACCTCTAGCAACTGTGGTCATTTGCAGCTTGAACCAACAGAAATGTACCTTTCAAATAAATAAATCTTAAAAAGGATACAACAGTCAGAGCCAGCCTAGTCAAACTGGAGTCTAGCTTGGTTCATTCCCATGTGGGTGGCAGGGGTCCAAGCACCTGGGCCATCTTCTACTGCTTTCCCAGACACACTGGCAGGAAGTTGGATCAGAAGCAGTGGAACCAAACCATTGCTCCTAGAATGCTAGTGTGGCAGCTTAACTTGCTGTGCCACAGGGCAAGACCATAATCATCTAACAATTCAGAATAACAGTGTGCAGCAAACAGCCAAAAATTTTGCTGAATGGGAAAGAGTCCACACTAGCAGGAACTATCATACAACCAACTCTAGGCCCAAGAATCCAGGACAGGACATTTGGGATGGAAAAAGTAATGACAAAGAAATTTTTGTCAATGACCCAAGACCAAATTCGTTATCAGTTCCCTTGGAACAGGTTCATGTTCATTGTTCAAGTTGAGGTCACAATCACTAAAATGCACAGAGGCCCAATATGTCTATTCAAAGGCACACCAACAACAACGACAAAGCTAAGAGGTAGCAATTCACTGCGGTGGGAGACCAACACCTCATATTCGAGCACCGATTTCTCATTACCCCCCTTCTGATCCAGCTCCCTAATATACCAGGGAAAGTAGCAAATGACTGACTGAGTTCCTGGCCCCACTCTTGTGAGGTATTTTGTTTTGTTGTGTTGTGTTTTGGAGAGCGGGTGGGAGGGGTTGAAAGAGAGGGGACAGGTTTCCAAGATGCTTATTTGGGCAGATCCAGCAGGGGGTGCTGCACACAGAAAAGGGTGTTGCAGTCTCTTTAGGGAGTACACCTAAGTACTGGATGGAAGATCCCTGTGTTACTCTGGCTTTTAAGTAAATAAAAAAATAAGCCTGGAAAGGAAAAGGAAAGGAAAAAGAAGAAGAAGGCGGCCCAGCACAGCAGTCTACTGACTAAAGTCCTCGCCTTGCATGGGCTGAGATCCCATACGGGCACCAGTTCACACCCGACTGCTCCACCCACTTTCCAGCTCCCTGCCTGTGGCCTGGGAAAGCTGCAGAGGACAGCCCAAAGCCTTGGGACCCTGCGTCGCATGGGAGACCTGGAAGAAGCACCTGGATTTAGGTGGGCTTCGCTCCAGTTGTGGCAACCACTTGGGGAGTGAACCACTGGATGGAAGATCTTCAACTCTGCGTCATCTTCTCTCTGCAAACCTTTCTAATAAAAATAAACTAATCTTTAAAAAAAGACTCATAAGGACAAACATTGATTTATTTTAACTTGTATGCCTTAAGGACAGAAAATGTTTCAACCAGTTCTTTTCCTACGATGCAGTGAGTTGGCACAATGAGCACTGGACCCCTAAAGCATGCTATGACCTCCAAAGGAGATACAGCTCACTTGCATGTGCAGATCTGCATGTACTCAAAGGCAGTCCTGTGGTAAAATTATATAGAACACACACTTCTCTGCAAAAATTATCTGCTCCAAAGGCATACATAATTAAAAGACAATCACATGAGACACAGAGAGCCCATTAATATGAAACCTTCAGAATAGGTGAAGACAGGGAGGAACCTGGCTGTCGGGAACGACGGATGGCAATAGGTCCACAGGCACAGGACTTTGTTGAGGATGAGGCTTTGCAACTAACCAGAGCACGTGGCTGCACAACACTGGGCATGCACTAAATGGTTGGTCTGCTTTATGCTGTATGAATTTGATCTTTATTTCAAAACACCAATAAAAAATCCCTTTATTTTTCCTGGGTTATTTAAGATTTATCTATTTATATTGGAAAGGCAGATTTATGGACAGCCAAGATGAACTGGTGCCATTTGGGGTCCTGGCACTTGCAAGGTGAGCATTTAGCCAAGGAGCCATTGCACCTGGGCCCTTATTTCCTGTTCAAAAATAGAGAATCACACCACCTGTGACTCCCACATTTAGACTGGGTGGAAATCAATGGAACACAAAAGGACCTCCGAGACAGGAGGCTTTTTCAGCTCAGTGGCTAAAATCCTTGCTTTCCACATGGCACCAGCATCCCATATGGGTGAGGTTCCTGCCCCAAATGCTCCACTCCCATCCAGCTCCCTGCCTGTGGCTTGGGAAAGCAGTCAAGGACGGCCCAGAGCCTTGGGACCCTGCATCCGCATGGGAAACCCGGAAGAAGCTACTGGCTCCTGGCTTTGGATTGGCTCAGCTCCAGCAGCCACTGTAGCCACTGGGGGAATGAACCAGAGGGTGGAAGATCTTTCTCTTTCCTTCTCTCTGTATATCTGCCTTTCCAATAAATCTTTTTTTCACCCTTAGACTTCAAGACAGAGCACAAAATTGACTACTGTTAGGTGCCTACAACGTCTGAGGTTAAAAGCTCATCAGCTGGGCCCGGTGTGGTGGTGCAGTGGTTAAGGTCCTCGCCTTGCACGCCCGGGATCCCATATGGGCGCCGGTTCTATCCTGGCAGCCCCGCTTCCCATCCAGCTCCCTGCCTGTGGCCTGGGAAAGCAGTCGAGGACGGCCCAAAGCTTTGGGACCCTGCACCCGCGTGGGAGACCCGGGGGGAGGCTCCTGGCTTCGGATCGGCATAGCATTGGTTGTTATGCTCACTTGGGGAGTGAATCATCGGACGGAAGATCTTCCTCTCTGTCTCTCCTCTCTGTATATCCGCCTTTCCAATAAAAATAAAATAAATCTTAAAAGAAAAAAGCTCATCTGCTGGGATACTCTCTTTGCCAAGACAGAGTAAAAGCTAAAATCAAGTTTCTTAATTCTACACTTTTTTTGTTTTGTTTTTAAAGATTTACTTATTTTTATTACAAAGTCAGATATACAGAGAGGAGGGGAGAGAGAGAGAGATCTTCCATCTGATGATTCACTCCCCAAGTGAGCGCAACGGCTGGTGCTAAGCAGATCTGGAGCCAGGAGCCAGGAACAACTTCTAGGCCTCCCACACAAGTGCAGGGTTCCAAGGCTCTGGCCAGTCCTCGACTGCTTTCTCAGGCCACAAGCAGGGAGCTGGATGGCAAGTGGAGCTGCCGGGATTAGAACCAGTGCCCATATGGGATCCTGGCACATTCAAGGCAAGAACTTTAGTTGCTAGGCCATGCCGCTGGGCCCTTAATTCTACACTTGGAACTTGCAGGATATAGAACAAACTCGAGAGTACATCCACGGGGGTAATAAATGAGTAATGAGAAAAAATGCAAGCAAAGGCTTTACTGCTGTCCACACCAACTTTACTCCTTTACCAAATTGAATGTCAAAGTAAGCATTCCATCCAAATAAATTAAGTCATAAAATCCAAACATCTAATCTACCCCCCCCAAAAAAAAACCACTAACGATTCAACTCACACATGTTTACCTCCCAAGGGCAGAACTGAGGGAGCAGGGCTTTCTCAACAGCTCTGGTGACTCAGACCATCATGCAACACTTCCTCAGGAAAACACCAACAACGCACACACACCACGGCTTGAGTTACGGAGTCAGCTGGTTATGTGCATTCAGTTCCACAAAGTTCACAAATATTTATTACACGGTATTCACATTAGATTAACACCCATATTTTTCAGGGTCACCATTATGTTTGTTCAACTTGGTGGAGTCCCCATTTTTGTGATATTTTTAACATATGACTAAAGCTTCTGCCATCCCAAGATGCTCCCACTGTTTACAGACACTCCAACAGCAGCTGGGGCTCCTCAGCTACCTCTTGTTACAGTCACTAGAGCAGCAGCTTTAGATTCCAGCTATTGACTTCACTAGTGGTATGTTAAACTACACAATTTGAACGGCTTTCCTCCTAGCGATGGAAAGAGACGTTACAATTCAATGTGGACAGTTCAATGCAAATGACCACAAGGGCACAACTCCGAGCTTGTGAGGTTTGACGCCAGAGCGCAGCTCCCAGCTGAATGACCTCCACAGCACTGACTACCTCCATCTCTGTTCACATCACTTGTAATACCTTTCCTAAGTCCATTCAAAAAACACGGCCAACAAAAACTTACCCACACAAGCATTGAGGAAGAGCCAATCGGTCTTTTTCATCCTGTTTTTAATCTGCTTTAGTTTCTTAAAGTCCACTTCAAGCTCCTCCTGGCTACCGACAGCACCAGCCAACTCAATCCTCTGAAAATCCATCTTCACTTCTGAGTCCCGTTTAGCAGCAGGAGGCGATCTTCTCTGACTGTTGCCACTACTGCAGCTCCCCCTCCACCGTGCCCTGTCCTGCTCATTTATTATGGAAGAAGCCTCTTCAGTCTCTGCCAGCTCTATGGCTTCAATGTTATTGGGTCTGGGGTGATCACAAACGACACATTTTTTAGCCTTCGCCCAGTTTTCATACGTGCAAATAGAACAAGTCCAATGCTGGGTTCTTGTGTTCAATTTATTTCTATCATTGTATTCCTCACAAGGATCAACAGAAAAAGCAACCGGTCTGGAGCCAGATCCTGAGGACTGAGGGGATTCTGTGGGACTCCTGGTCCTGCGCTGTGACAAGCACTGCGTACACCTGATCGCTCTCGGCCAGTTCAAGTACGTGCACATGTGGCATGACCACTTATTCGCGTTCTCCATGCTGTATGAAGACTTCACCCTTGGTCGTGCACTGGAGTCTGGACAGATCAAAGGACTACTTCCTCCTTCGGTGCTGGAAGGATCCCAGTCTCTGCCGACATCACTGGAACCACTTTTAAAGGGATCTTCTGTAATAATTGTTCCACTGGGTCTTTGGGCACGACACATGGTACACTTGATCGCAGATGGCCAGTTTTCATACGTACAATATTCACAAGCCCACTTGATTCCACGTTCTGACATTGTGCACTTCTTCAAGTGAATTATGTCAGGCAGGAAGCTACAAATAAGCAGGACATGATTATTTAGGATGGTTATTAAACAATAATTACCTAATTCTGCTCCAAAACATGCAAAAAATAAATATACCCTTCAACTTCGAAGTTTTCCAAAGGTTTCAGAGGTAGGACCTAATTTTCTACTTCGGTTTCCACAAATACACTACAGGTGAATATCTAAAGAAAACCCTTACCCCAAGATCTAATCAAATTGCATTTTGAAATGCTAAGGGTGGCGGTGGGGAGCAGAGGATAAAGTCAGATCTGTTCTAAGAGGAAAGGAAAATAAACTGAGGAAGCCACAAATTTTAATTTCAGTTAGGTCCATTGCTAACAGTTAAAGAGTCTCAAAGGCAAGACAGGAAACCAAATACCACCATAAACCTACAAGCAATGTTGAATTATAAGCAACACAGATTATGCTATCTAGGTACAGCATACACTTGCTTTATAATGTCTGAATTTTGTTGTTGTTTTTTTAAGATTTTTTTTTATTGGAAAGGCAGATGTACAGAGAGACAGAGAAGAAGATATCCCATCCAATGATTCACTCCCCAAGTGAGCACAATGGCCAGTGTGCGCTGATCTGAAGCCCAGAGCCAGGAGACTCTTTCGGGTCTCCCACGCGGGTGCAGGGTCCCAAGGCCTTGGGCCGTCCTCAACGGCTCCCCCAGGCCACAAGCAGGGAGCTGGATGGGAAGTGGAGCCGCCAAGATTAGAACTGGTGCCCATATGGGATCCTGGAGCGTTCAAGGCAAGGACTTTAGCCACTACACCACTGCGCTGGGCCCCCAGATCCTTTCTTAATATCCTGATTCCTGAATCCTCAAAATCTAGTTTAGTTGGGAGCCTGGAGCATAAAATTGGCAATACAACATCTCAGAAATAACTATTATATAATCATTTCAATATCATTCTGAAGGTCCATATTCAAAACACAAAATGTTTTAAATAGTCAAAAGCAATTCCTATTCAAAATCTAATCACTGCTTAAACTTCCTAGGAATCTGTCTGGGCTTACTAACACTGCATTATCATGAGGATTTTATTATTTAATCACAAAATAGCTTAGACAAAATAATCTAGTGATTCTTCAAAAAGTATTCATTTATTTTTATTGGAAAGCCAGATGTACAGAGAGAAGGAGAGACAGAAAGATCTCCCATCCACCATTTCACTGCCAAAAACCACAACAGTTGGGACAGAGTTGACCCGAAACCAGGAGCCAGGAGCCTCCACCAGATCACCCACGCTGGTGCAGGGTCCCGAGGACTTGGGTCATCCTCCACCACCTTCCCAAGCCACAAGCAAGGAGCTGGACAGGAAGTAGGGCAGCCAGGACACAAACCATAACCCTTATGGGGTGATGCCACTCGTAGGAGGAGGATTAGCCCTTCAATTCCTGGCGCCAGCCCCCTAGTGACACATGCAACCTCTGTTTTCTTAAATCCCTTTGCCACTCAGTATCATCCCTCCATTCTTTTTAATGAGAAAGAAATCATACAGAGTAATAGAAGCTTTTTACTCACTTTCCCGAACCTGGGAAATCACTTTGTATCATGTTCTTGTCTGCTAATCTGCATTTATGATATGAATAATGTCAAAAACCAAGGGCTCCTATTAAGTAACTATGTTACAGCCCCTTCACCTTGCACATGGCTGGAAGGAAGCACAGCTGAACTCAGACCAAGGACAAGTCCCCACGCTGGTCAGGTCTGACTGCTGTGGAGACAGAGCCAAGGGGCCAAGCTCTCCTGTAAAGGAGACCCAACTTGAATTTCAATGGAAGCCTGCTACTTGATCCTAAATCATCTTTAAAGACTTTAATCAATTTTTTATTTCAGTCTTACTAGTTTTAATGATAGAATGCTATGTTTAGAATTTTAATACAGCAATAAAACTGGCAAATCAAACGGGCTGATGAGCCAAAGGAGATGTTTTTCTACGCGCTCTCAAGCACGTGTGCAGTGTATGCCTGCCACTAGACTGTTAGCACTACTCAGTGAACTTCTCCCTGCAAGCATCACAATCTCGTCACTGAACCGAGAAAGCCAACGCAACTGCCTTTACGAGGCTCTGGAATCTGCTTCAGTAAACTACCTCTTCACCCGGACTGTTCAAACGATCTTACTTAGATTTTTAAATTTTATGCAAACTAGGATCTCACATATAGCATCACAATTAAAAAAAAAAAAAAGATAAAGTCTGTTAAAGGGCACAGAACATAATTATAAAGGCATCCAAAGAGGAAACAATAGAAATTTAATACAATTTTCATTTTCATTTGGAAGTGCCATTCCTCGCAAAAATGAAATGCAAAAATGTTACTTTCTCATGCTATTGAAAATTAAAATGATCAATAAAAACGTTTAACAAGAACAACTGCTATAACAAACATAACCCAAGCTACTCTAAATTTAATATTTTCTTTAAACCAGTCATATTCAAAAATCCAGGCTTGCTTTAGTAATTCCTACTTTGACGTTCTTGTAGGCACAACCTAACAGCCTATCTACACTACCTTTATCTTGATGGAACTAATGTAACAGCATGATATGTTTAAATGTCCAAGGCTAACAATAAAGACAACAAACAGCAGCCTCTTTAACAAAGCACCACCATTTCCGCCGGGTAGAATAAGGACAAACAGCTGGCTACTGCTTAGCCTGTCTCTTCTGAAAATCCAGGAATAATCAAGCTCATGAATTTTGAAATAAGTTATATATAACAATGTACTGAATCCATTTTGTAGGAATTGAAGATCTATTGTTTTTTTAATAAGTGAAAACTAAAATTCACTTGAGAGGATTCTTTGAGACAGCCATTTATACCTATGATAGTAAGTAAAATGAAAGAAAAAGGGTAACATCACCTCAACTTTGTGATTCTGCCTTACTAAGACATTAACACTAAGTGCATTTCTTCTAGATTTCAAAACATTCCAAAATACATGTAAAATGAAATCTATTAAATTAAATGTATGTAAAATTCAAAGCAATCAGTTCTAAAAACACTGTACCTTAAAACTGCTTTTAGAGCCCATCACGGTAGCCAAGTGGCTAAGGTCCTCGCCACATGCCAGGATCCCATGGGCATTGGTTCCTGTCCTGACAGCCCCGCTTCCCATCCAGCTCCCTGCTTGTGGCCTAGGAAAGCAGTCGAGGACGGCCCAAAGCCTTGGGACCCTGCACCCACATGGGAGACCCAAAGAAGCTCCTGGCTTTGGATCAGCTCAGCTCCAGCCATTACAGCCACTTGAGGAGTGAATCAGTGGATGGAAGATTTTCCTCTCTGTTGCCCCTCCTCTCTGTGTATCTGACTCTCCAACAAAAACATGACTAATTCTGTATATAACACACATTTCCAAATTCTTTTAAGAGTTGTTTACTTCATTTACTTATTTGAAAGTCAGATTTACACAGAGAAGGAGAGACAAAGATCTTCCATCAACTGTTTCACTCCACAAGTGGCTACACTGGCCAGAGACGAGCCAATTCAAAGCCAGATTCAGGCCCAGATTTCCAAATTCTATACAGGAATCATACTTCAGTTAAGTGGTCTAATAAAATCTGCACAATCCAGAACTTCCTAAGGAGAACTTACCACCAGTGCTACTCCTAATTACCCTTTGCTTCAAACTCAATCCTGAGAGCTTCCATTCCGTGAACCAGGAGTCCATTTGTGCATCAGGCTCTACCACAATTGAGTGAAGTCTCCAAACACAGCCACCGTTTTCTAGGACTAAATTCCTAGTGGCTGTCATTACATACTCCCAAAGACTAAAAACAATATATTCTTGGGGAGGGGCGGGCTAGACTATCATACCATCACATTTAAAGATTAAGCCATATTTATAAACATTACTAAGCACTATATACAAAATTTATCTACGCTGAGGTCAAGATCACAGCCACATTGCAGACTCTGCCAAGAGAAGCTCAGAGACGACCGGAGAACCAAAGCAACACAAAAATGGAACCTGCTGCATCCAGTGCAAACTCCGTAACAGAGGGACCGTCAATCATGGCCACTCCCACACTGAGCACTGTGTCAACGGCTTCAAATGGCAAGTTATTCAGAGAATGAGCTGATCACACTCATCTTTACACGATGGTTTTTCCTTAGCTTTTTAAGGTAACCCTGTATTTATTAAGATAAATTAGTGAAAACAAGGCTCAGACCATCTTCAAGGAACACAGATGAGAACTAAAACCAAGAACAACAATCCAAACTTGCTGAAATCCCAAGTTTTTACAATTAGTTGAGGTAATTTTGAAATGTAAAACTTAAAATTAAAATTTTCAAAGTACTACTAAGCTCTTAAACCAAAACACTAATACAGTCACTTCCATTTTCCTCAGGAGTTATTTTTCTGTATCACTGTCTTCCTCATCACAGCTAACACACAAAAAAAACAGCCATCCGTAGAAGGATCCTCAGGATTTCTGCTGGAGTGAATGTACTGCCGACACCGGAGCGCCTCACTTCAGGCCTCCTCCGTGACACCCCAGTCTCCCTCCCACTGCAGACTCGCCCCTCCCCTGAGCGCTGCAGTTCCCAGCCAGGACACTCGGAACTACACTGAATGCCACCCGGACTCCAGGGGCTGCTGCTGACACCCAGCCTCTCTCGGTTCAGGTCAGAGCTACAACAGCCTCCTCACGCACCTTGCTCTAAAGGCACTCAGCTGACTGTTAGCAGCACAACCCTCCTTCTGAAGCTCAGTACAACCTCAGTTTCTCCAAACAGACCCACTCCCACACCCCGCAGTTCAAGCACGGTCACCATGACCTACAGTGAACACACCAAGGCACTTAGACACACGCACTCGCATCTAGCAAACACTGTCTGCTCTCCAAGGTTCAGTTCAAGGCTCATCTTCAAGTCTCAGGAAGTGATCCAACCATCCTCTGTAACCATCGTTTTACTGGCAACTTGGTATTTATTTCTTCTTGTAGAAAAGTAATTCATGTATTTTTTCTGTCATTCCTTCTAACCAATTTTCAGTGAAGTAATTCGACATTCAAAAATTTTGTCTCAAGGATTCCAGCGGCATGGAATGTGGACCAACACCACTTAAAAGCATAGTCAGTGACTTTAAAAAGAAAGGAGTGGAGGGCCCGGCGCGGTGCCGCAAGTGGTTAAGGTCCTCACCTTGCACACCCGGGATCCCATATGGGCGCCGGTTCTAATCCCGGCAGCCCCACTTCCCATCCAGCTCCCCGCCTGTGGCCCGGGAAAGCAGTCGAAAGCTTTGGGACCCTGCACCTGCATGGGAGACCCGGAAGAGGCTCCTGGCTTCGGATCAGCATAGCATCGGTTGTTGCACTCATTTGGGGAGCGAATCATCGGATGGAAGATCTTCCTCTCTGTCTCTCCTCCCTGTATATCCGCCTTTCCAATAAAAAAAAAAATAAAAAAAATAAATCTTTAAAAAAAAAAAAAGAAAGGAGTGGAGCTTTTGAGAAATTTAAGAGTGAGA